ATAAATACTCTGGCTATGAGGGCAGGTCAGATGCTAGGAATCCTGCAGTGGGTAACTCATCTTTTGTCCCCCCATTGCCTGTGCACCATAAATTTGTAAGGAGATCTCAATTATCTGTAAGAATAATAGGGTGGTTATAGTAGGAGATTTTAATTTTCCAAACACAGACTGGGACTACCATAGTGTTAAAGGCTTGGCTGAGTAAAGTGCCAAAAATGCTCAGGAAATTTCATATCAGTTTGGTCGGCATCTCATCCACCACCTTCAAAATCCACTCCCTCTATCATAATGCCCAGTGGCTGAAGTGTGTACCCTGTGCAAGATGTGCCTTAGCAAGTCACCAAGGCTCTTCTGATAGTAGATGCATGGGAACACTGAAAACTGCAAGTTCCTCTTCAAGCTGCCCACGATCCTGACTTTAAATGATAATGGCTGTTCCTTCACTGTCACTGGGTCAAATTCCTGGAACTCCCTTCCTAACAGCAGCATAGGTCTCCTTACACCACAGGGCCTGTAGTGGTTCAGATGACAGCTTACTGCCATTTTCATGGGGGATTAAGTGTGAGCAGTAAATGTTGGCCCACTCAATGATATTCACATGCTGTGAGCTATTTTTTCACAAAGTTAATATGGAATGGACTTTGTGATTCAAAGGCTTGGTTTCTCTGAAGCTATTGATAGATTCTGTGATGAGGGGTCATTGATTTTTTGTTGACAGAGGGACAGAGCCACTTCACTGAGTCCAAATAGCTTTAGGAAAAACAGTTTGGCAAAGGCTGAGGCTGAAGTGTACATCCACATCTAATCGATCAGGCACATCAGTTGATTATTCTTATTACGCCTTGGGAATCAACGGGCATGAACAGGTCTGCCTCAGAGGCTTGGTTTAATTGCAATTTTTCATCATTTATCTTGGAACTTTTGCTTCCCTTGCCTCTATGTAGGCTAATCCAGTAATCATTAGTTAGTTTGGCTTAACAGAGTAGAAGCAGAATGAATAGAACCAAGCAACAGTCTCAAAATAAAGGGCAGGCTGTATAGGATTAAGGTGAGAAATGTCACAGAGGGTGATGAATCTTTGGATTTCCCTACCCCAGAGAACTGTGGGGGTTCAGTCCTGGAGAATACCCAAGACAGATCAATTGATTTGTAGTTATTAAAGCTGTCAAGGAATATGGAGAGAGCGCAGGAAAATGATGTTGCGATGGAAGGTCATCAATGATCTAGAATGGTGAAGCAGGGTTATGGGACTGAATGGCCTCCGCCTGCTTCTATGTTTCAACTAATCAATGCAAATGTGAGCACTTGCTATGTGGACAGGAATAGCACAGTAAACAGCACCACACACTCTGGAGATATGAGTATATTTGCAGCATCTCCTGATCATATGGTTTCACGGATATGGATTAAGGCCTTCAACAACAGGTTTTTCTCCTCTGAGATTTGTGCACGTCAAACTCTGGTGACACAAGAAGAGGTTCTCAGACCATGCTTTGAGCCATTATCATCTCCATTTCCCTCATCAGCACTACAACAAACATGTGCCTTTCAGATGGTGAGAGGATTTATGCAGAACTGCTTGTAATGTACCAGCATGGTCTCAATATTCCAGATGTTTAATGACAGAATACTTGGCTCATTTCAACCCTGGCTTTGTGAGGCTCACTTCTCTTTCAGACTCCTGGGACAAGGGTTTGCTGTAAGCAGTCTTTTTGTAATTGTTTCCCATATTCCACCACCAACTTGGATTTTAAACACAGACTGAAGAAACATGCCTGGATGTGCTGGGCTGCAAAAGGAAGGATTTGGACTTGGTTCTCAGTGAAGAGTTTTTAGTTCCTTCCAAACAGTCCAGAAAGAATGTCAAGATTATAGTTGCTGTCCACTAGAGTCCTCAGGTACTGATATTGACCAATAATTAGGGAAGATGGTCTTTGTAAAGCCTGTACATTACTTTTGAGATTCCTTCCTGAAAAATGCAAAGCTACAAGTGTGATCACTGGCTATCCACTGATTCGTGCACTGTTTTAGCTAAATGATCAACTGTCTTCAGCTCATAATGTACCTTTGTAGCGCATCTTGATTAAAGACCAAATCATATTCCTTCCCTTTGCAGTTACTTCAATGTTCAATAATTAAGCAACTAGCAGACAAGGAAATCTTAGCCAGGTTAAATGATATTGGATAACAAGGGGTGGACAGGTGACTGAATAGAGCCAAAAAAACAGGCATTTTCCTACCTGTAACATAGTTAATTCAAACCAGTCTCCTCGACATTGGCCAGACCCAAAGGCAGACTATGTGACCACTTTGTAGAAAGTCTCCAATCAGTCTGCAAGCATCACCCCAACTTTCGGCTGCTTACTATTTCAATATCCGATCCTGCTGTCATCTTTCCTAGGTCTGCAGCAGTGTGCCAGTGAAGTCCAGCACCAAGCTGGAGGAACGGTACCTCATTTTTCATTTGGACACTTTACAGCTTTTTGGATTCAGCGTTGAGTTCAAGAACATCAGACCGTGAACTCTGTCCACCATATTGGTTAACTCAGCACCCCACGTCAGCCCCATGTTTTATTTGTGTGGTTTTGCATTCAGAAGAGCTGATCAATTTTCTGCTATTAATACCTACTCTAGATCTAATTTGCTGCTCTACAACCATTGCCTTTTTTTCTCCACGAGCTACCGTTTTGTTCCACTTGATCCTCCCCATTTTCTTCTGCAACATAAAAGCCAATACATTTCTGCCTTCCTTCAGCAACAGACCTGAAACATTAACTGTTTCTCTATCCACAGATGCTGCTTGACACTTTCTGTTTCTATTTTAGAAAGATTCTCGATTGACAAGGGAATCAATAGTTAGCAAGACAGTGGGGTTGAGGGCACCTTCAGATCAACCATGATCTTATCAAATCACAGAGCTGGCTTGAGAGGCTAAGTAACTTCTAAGAACATTAGAATTAAAAGCAGGAGTAGTCCATTCAGCCCCTCAAGCCTGCTCCACCATTCAATAAAATCATGGCTGATCTCATCTCGGCCTCAACTCCATTTTTTTACCCACTTTCCATAACCCTTCAACATGTTACTAATTAAAAACTCTTGTCTATCTCCTTCTTAAATTTACTCAGTGTCCTGGCATCCACTGCATTCTGGGGTAGTGAATTCCACAGATTCACAACTATTTGAGAGAACTACGTTCTCCTCATCTCTGTTTTAAATCTGCTACCACTTATCCTAAAACTATGACCTCTCATTGTAGATTACCCTATAAGGAAACATCCTATCCATGTTTACTCCATGAATCCCTTTAGCATCTTATATACATCAATTAGATCTCCTCTTGTTCTTCTGAACGCTGGAGAGTATAGGCCTAAACTGTTCAATCGCTTCGTAAGACAAACCGCTCATCTCAGGAATGAATCTAGTGAACCTCATCTGAACTGCCTCCAATACATTACACCCCTCCTTAAAGGCAGGCCCAAATTAATACAAAATAATCCAGGTCCACTCTCAGTAATGGCTTGTGCAACTGCAGCAACGATTCCTTACTTTTATACCCTTTAGCAGTAAATGCCAAAATTCAATTTACCTTTCCTATTAACTGCAGTACCTGCAAGCTACTTTTCTGTGATTCATGCTCAAGGAAACCCAGATCCCTCTGCACTCTAACATTTCTCTCCATTTAGATAATAAGTTGCCTTTCTGTCCCTCTGACCAAAACTGATAACCTCACATTTATGTTAAATTCCATCTAAACTCCAAATTTTGGCCAGTTCTAATTTTTAATTTACATGGTTGTAAACACACCACAGCTCTGACCTGGATGACAAACTCTGGCTGAGAAAACGGGGCACTATGCTATCAGAGATGCTGGCGTGAACTTGAACAGGGTGTAGGGGTGCTAGCCAGGGTCTTGAAAAGGGTGTGGATTACTGCCCAGGACAAAACATGTCCTAAATTGGCCAAAGAGTCAAATCGTAGGATATTCATAAAAATCTGGGGCAGTTGGTCGCACTGATACTGACAGCACCTTTGGCAGGAGAAGAGAGAGACCACCTTTCGTTGGAACTGCAAATCTAAGATAACAAGGTGTAGAGTTGGATGAACACAGCAGGTCAAGCAGCATCAGAGGAGCAGGAAATCGATCACCTACAGAATGGCCTACTTTCTTTGAAACTGTCTCCACATCCTTTTAACAGTCCGAGATATAGGCTGCTCCTAGGCCAATCACCAACGCCTAATCCCTAACTCGAGAATCAAACTGGTTAAACTTCACTGAACCCCTGCTTAATCCAGCAGGAAGACCAGCAAGACTGCAAAAAAAATATGCAGGTCTGACTCATCTTGCATACTTCAAAATGGAGTTTCAGTATGTTAATTTCCAAGTATTATTCTTAATCTCTCCACCGTACCGCCATCTCCGGTAGGCAAGTCTACCCTTGCCAGAAGAGTACCAAAATTTCTTTCTGCAAATTTTGCCCGATTTGCAGGGCATTCTGCACCTCAATGGGGCCTGAATGTCAACTCACATTCCTTTGTCTGCTAATGAATGGGACTTTGTGACGAGTTGTCCCAGACACGTGGTCACCTCAGAGTGGGAATACCCATTTAATCCATCACATGCTAAACCCGGGAAGAGGCACAGTTTACATCCCGAAACAAAAGATGGCTGCAAAACGGTGAACTTTCGCCCCCTCTCCGCACCAGCGGCCCCGAAATAATTTTTAAAACGGCATTTTTTTGTCTCTCCCTCTCTCTTTCCGGAAGTGATCGCTTTGTAACGTCTCAACCGAACATGTTGAACGGGGCGGGGAAAGGCGATGACGTCGGGGAGAGGGCGGGGTACCCCGTAGGTGGGACCAACCAGGACACGGATACTTGTTGAGCGACGGGAGCAGCGACCAATCGGAGCGCACGGACTGGGCGGGGCCGGTGCAGCCAGCAGGTTCGCCTGCGCCGGCCGGCCGACTATAAGAAGGAGAGGCAGCGGCGCGACCGCTCTCTCTGCTGTGGCGGGCGCGGCGACGTGAAGGCGTGTTTAAAGAGGGGGGGAAAAAAAAAATTAAAGTCTTGTCGATATTTAATTCTTCCCAAAAACACGGAGCATTTATAATGTCAGAAGACGGCGCGGAATACAGGTATCAAAAATAGGGAGGAAGTTGTGTGAAAATAAAAAGGCTGGTGAAGGAAATAGCTCTCCATTCATAAACCGGATTCGTTGTTGAATGACCAGAGTGAAGGGGGGAAAAAAAATCGTGCCACAAAATGGCCGGACGCTGGGCATGAAAGAAAAATAGGGAGTTTTTGTTTCACCGTCGTCTCTGTTTTCTCTTTAAATCCCGCTCCCGTCTACATTTGAAGCCGGAGGAAAGTAATTTTTTTGTTTTTTTTTTAAAAGTAAGGGGAGAGTGTTTTTTTGATTTGGCCTTACCTTGTATGTCCGTGTCTCGCCCGCGAGCGACTGACGGTTGGTCCGTTGGAACCAACGGTCGTTTTATTTTTATTTCGAACCGGCGGCGGACTGTCCGAAGGTTGAGGGAGGGGGGCGGCGGGTGTGGGTGTGCGAGTGACCCCCTCCCCCCCCCCC